TTCTCATTGTTTGGTAACTATTTGCTGCAAATGCAGCAAAAATCAATATAAAAAATATTACCCACACAGTATTCTACAGGTTACTTGTACTGTTACAGTATTTGTTATACTATAGTTGAAGTGCGGTAACGAGTTACATTGAGTGCGGAGGGAATTAGCACCATGGAATTAGCGGAGTGAATTAACTGCAAATATTACCTTTCTGTCTTCATACACACCCTCACACGAGAGTTCTTTCTAGACTTTCTATGATTTTTATTATGTGTCGATATTACCCAGAATACACAACACTTCTCATCAACTCCAGTTGTAGAAGTTGTAGAACAATATTGAATCTTTTTGTTCACATCAAGGAAAATTTTAGAGAATGTTAGATGAACAAATTTATCAGTTAATAAATGAATTATCTATTTCCATATTGACTGTATTATAAGGCTCTCTATACTTCACTGTCATAAAAATAGTTTTACAGAATTATCGAATACATGGCATATCATTCTCACCTGTACTCCATTATAAAAACACCGAGCTTATTCATTATTACTGCCTTGCTTTACCAAATTGTGGATATACAATATAAAACTATGACCAAATTGTGGATATATAATATAAAACCATGACCAAATTGTGGATATACAATATAAAACTATGACCAAATTGTGGATATACAATATAAAACTATGACCAAATTGTGGATATACAATATAAAACCATGACCAAATTAAACCCCAAGGATTTTTTTCGGGTCAATATAGAATCGCAGGTTTGGCTGGATTTCAATAAATATGTGAGATATTGAGTCTTGAAAACGAAGACCCCTTCGTTCATTTTAAAACGAACATAGCGATTATATAAAATATTTTATTAATTCAGATTTAATTCTGCTGGTGATGCGAGTTTTAAGAATGTCCAACAGATCCACAAAAAAACCCCTTCCTGTTTATTCGACCGGGATGTGTTGATAGCAACTTTTGCAGCGATGAGGACAACCAAGGAGTAACCGTCATACCAGGTCCTAAAAGATCACGGGAAAGGCGAGAAACGAAGCGACAGAGGACGCCGATCGCCGAACATTCAATAAAATGTGAATGTGGGAATCCAGGTCACCACAAAGTGGACAGTTTTCAGAATCTGCGAAATTTGCCCCAGCAAAAAAAGCCAGCAGTAGTCTAAGCTCCACGCATTACATGTCATTGCAAATCTCCCTCACGTTTTGTTATACACTCTTTGAAGTTGAGTTTAATATCTGAAGGCACGGCCAGTAGATCACCCAACACAGTGTCATGTCTGTACGGATCGCCAGTTTTATTCATAAACAAGGTATTTGTAAATAAGTACATGTATATAGCGCCTTTTTAAGTTTGTTTATAATAGAGTAACAACGAATGTCGAACCTGTAATCCTCAGTTCTCGGGGTTACTGTGGTTTAGTTGTTCACATCATACCACGCTTGCATCACCAGTCAAATCTTCTGATACGCTTGGCGCAACAAAGGCGTTCCTTCATCTTCATAAATATATATAATTGTTCAAGTTGACGGCAATTGAATTAAATCGATCAAACCAGCCAATCAACGAGCACAATATACAACGACGTCATTTGAAAACATTCCAACGCTATTCAACCCGGCAATAGACACCTCTCGATTCTAATATTTATAAAGATAAAGTAATGCCTTTATTGAACCAAGAGTATAACGACGAATCAATAACATTGTGCTGTAAAGCCACACGATGTTCGATAAACTGAATAACTGTGACGTAAGCAACTATATACAGAAATTGAAACGGCTCAAGAGTGAAAATGTGATCGATTCGACGAATTTTGCGTGAAGAAAGCAGTTTAGTTTGCCCTTGTTGATGATGACTAGACGTTATCGCCTGCCATCAGACAAAATCTGGGCTGCCATTAAATTTATGTTGTTAAATTTGTCGTATTTGCATGATTAAATACAACTAAAACATACATTTTAACAGTAATATCTGACCTCAATCAATACAATTTGAAATGTTCAGTGTAGGTCTTTGCCGGTAAAGGTGCACTACACGTTTTGACCACACACCAGTAGATAAACACAACTAGAAAGTACCACTTCATTACGAGACTATCTTGACCTATTGCTACATTGCTGCTATCAACGTTCATGTAAAAAATAGAGCGCCCTCTCAAGAAACCACAGGAAAATAGTTTCTACTGTGTAATCGAACTGAAAATTGAAATATGATTCCCTTATCTCAGAAACAAGAAATCATATACATAACAATAACCTTAATTGATACTATCATCTTGAATCATTAAAGTATAATGTAAGTTCCAGCTTTAAGTTACTGCCTCCACATTTCGCGAAGAGAAGAATGTCTGAACAGTTCAGCGGATATATTTGCACTACTATATGTTCCAAGGACATGATTACAGATATATACCAATTTATGGCGTTTTTCATATTCCTCAAAAAACAAATAATGTACAAATAATGTTTTTCGAGGACTTGTACCTAAGTTTGTGTAGCACAGGGTTAGTAAAGAGGTAAGTTATAATACAATTTGTATGATGTTGGCTCTACTTTGTTACATTTAAATTAATTTTCAGTCCAAACATAACAAAAGTTTATATGGACACATCTGAGGCTGTTTATCTACAACACTTCTTGCTGTCATGTTAGTTATACGTTTGTTTAGAAAACACAAAATTATTCATGACAAAAACAAAAACAAAGTTATTAATTATTATTTCAAATAATAAAGATGAAAACATTATGAATGATGTGGTGAAACATCGTGACATCTATAACTGTTTTAATATACGAGAACATTCAATTAAAAATTGAAATGCTTAAACCAGCTGCTACAGAAAATACAAATTAACCAGTTTTTCTATGTCTAGAAATTTTAGTGTCTTGTTTGTTTTTCCTGTATTGTAAGTGTTAGTTATTTTTAATGTTTTCAGATTTATTACTTTATTGTACTTTTCATCAAAACCTCAAATATGGGGTACGATAG